ATTTAAACACAGTTGCAATATACATTTTATTTAGTTTTTAAGTTAAAACCTATTAGGACATCCTAAAATAACTTTTTTCGTTTGATGTGAGATTAATTATTCTACATTTTTGTTGGTGAAATAGGATATATTAAGATGTCTTACTGTTTTCTGTGATTATCTAAAAAGTTAGAACAATATACAAAGACTGTTATAACAAAAAAGAGATATACCTTTACTTAAACATACAATTAGTCAGTTCAATTGTACGATAATTTAAAGCAGAAATCCAGAAAACTTTAAAAATGTATTTAAATGTGTTTTTACTATAACAAGGACATAATTATTAAAAAAACTTGGCACATTAACATTGACAATAGGTTTTTATAATATATATTATAAAAATCACAACGAACTACACAAAATGACATTATTAATAATTTAGCAATAAAAAAGTTAAGTACAATGATGACATTAAAAGTTGAGTTTCTCAAAATACTTTTTTTAAATTGTCTCAGTAACTACCTAATATTTTTCTAGCACAATGATATACGAATGTGCATTGTGTGATATCTTATATTTTAGGAATAAAATTATATATTTTTTGCAGGTTTCTGTTAACAACGATTTCAAGAACTTTTGAAAATATTATTAAAGCGGCATTTGCAAATATAATTCTCAATTAAGAGCTTTTGATCTAACATTAAATTTTTATTCTCCATAAGGTTATAGCTTCCTAAGAAGAAAGTTTAACAAGACTTACCAGACTCAAAATATCAAAATTTTACCAACTAATTGATGGTTCTACTGGTTTCCATAGGAAAATTCTCCTCGAAACTACTAAAAGAAAAGTGGCAGAGGCAACCGAAGAAGGCAAAAAAGTCTTTTGCAAAACAAAAACTAGAAATTTGTTTAAGAATCTAATTATTGTTTGAAGTTCTACCAACGATAATTTTTGATAACGATTTAAAATTATGAAGTTCTATTATGAATTTTACTCTTTGATAACCTATGTTTAAATTTTTATTAGGACCAAAATAAATTATATTTTTCATTTCAACTACAAAAACCCTCATAATATTAAAAAGGGGAAAAACGTTAGATTAGTTATGTTCAGGAATAAACTCTTTAAACATTTATCTACCTAAAATGTGTTACTTTTAGAAGGTATGTTATTAACTTTTCTATTTGTACTTGTATTAATTCATTTAATTTTATTATCTGTTGTATTTTCAAATTGATTTTGATATTAATCTTATCTATTTATATATTTTTTATACTCACATATGTTTTTTTCATTGAAACAAACGTTTATTAGCTTATTAAATATAATGAATTTATGTTGTTTTATTATATGCTTGTATGAATGATTACTTTTATTTCCTTTTAAAAATGAATTTCGTAGATAAAGCCGAAACGGTGAGTGAGAATAAAAATTAGACGAAAGTGACGATATTTACTGGAGCTTTCATCCACACGCTCCTTTTTCTAGCCATCTACACCTGAGCCAGCAAGATTCGTCTTCCCTCCATCCTTACATTCTCTAGATTTACAGAGAAAACGCCGTCCTCTTTAACATATCCAGACCTTCTTTGACGGGGACTATACCACTACATTATCAGTTTTATTTGTTATCCCGAGCAATTTAAATGCATTCGTAATTGCTCATTCTCACCTCTTCTCTTGTAGATTCCGTACTCAGTTTTCCTATTTTTAGTTACGTTTGCACTGCTCGTTTATTTTCACAGCTTTAATTCTATTATGCTGTAACGCTACACTATGGATCCATTTATATGGTTTATACTATTTAATGTTATTCGTAAGTGACCAACCTATTATAAAAATTAAAGATTATTGTATTACAGGCCTGAAGATGTTCCTGTAAGGCCGAAACTAGTCGCTCCTGTATTTATAATAAAATTGATTTTAAGGTTTTATTCTTCAATTGAAAAAATTAGACCTTTACAGTGATTTTATTCGGTATTCATTTTAAAAATAGTAAAATTAGCAAAATTTTTAGTTGTTTTTTTTACAATTAAAACGTTTGGACAATGTGTGTTTTTATAGATAAATGATACGCCACTGAACAAGAAGGATGTTTACCTTCCCCCTTGTGCCCGCTTCCTCACTTCCTCTACAGATGTTGCTAACACAACATTCGCCTACAAACCATGGAGGAAGGATTATTCTCAGTGTTGTTCCTAGGGATTTTTGAATTGTACAACTTTCAGTGTCAAAATTGTACACTTTTACTTTCGATTGTACAACCACTAATTAATCTTCTTCTTTTTTATTGACAGACTATGGCCTACTACTTTCCCATGCTTAAAATTCTTCTTTTTTCCAGTTTAAAATATATTTTTGATGTAAAACGGTGTACTGATTGGTCGCGAATGGCGCCAAATTTAAACTTTTATTTTTTTATTAATTTTAATGCATGTTATTTAACAAATCGTAGACTTTTTGAGCGAAGAAAACCTTTTATATACCCGATTTTACATAAATATTTAGCAATTTCAAATTGTACAACATTTCTGTCTTTTTTCAAAAGTGCGTACAACAGTACAACCGCATAACTGATTGTACAACTTTTTGTACAATTGTACAACCAGGAACAACACTGATCTACAAACTCGTTTCCACGCTCCCTCTATTAGTAATTGCTCGGAGATTTCAACATGGCGCTGCGCTTGCGCTCATCACATGATGAAAAGGTCTATAAGCTAAGCTTAAAATGACATTTCTCCATTGACATGTGATGCAAATGGACCCTAATATATTGCCGCGTTTGAGAATCTACATCGGATGCATTTTTTACATCTCGAGCGTTTTTTTATCCACATCGGACACATCTACTACATCTACATCTGCGTTTGTTTATCCCAGATGTACCCACAAAGCACATAGAGGTTCCACGTGAATGACCAAGGTCAAAACCGACAACTGACATTTTTTATGCTATTTGCTCCAAACTCTAGATGGGGCTACTGGTGAAATTATGATTTCTTACTCCATTTTTAAGTCTTATGGGAGAAAAACTTAACCAAAGACTCCAAAGATGTGACGTGTATATATTTATGTTCTTGGTTAGTTTCATTTTTCCGTCTGATTTTAGTGATTTTTTGTTGGCTTTGGCTTTTGGTTTCTGTTTATAGTTTCGTCTTCGTTATTTGCAAAATTGTGATGTTTCGCTTTTTTATTTCCTACTGTGTTTTGCAATAATTTTGGTGCTACGTTTAAAACTTCGAGAAAAACTTCATTGATTCACCATATATTCACCATGCATCTGCATCATAAAAAGATAAACGGGGACAATAACTAATTGATAATCAATTTATCACTGGACTAGATTCCGAAATCATTTTTCACATAAGAGAGTAATACCACCATCTGTATTTGGAAGGAAAATACCTATTTATCATTGAATGAATAGTTAAAAGGATTCACCTTTTAATACAATACCTATATTACATTTGTCCTCAGTTAAAAAGACATTTATAAAATATATAACTTTAGTGTTAATAAAATGTAATATCCTAGTCTCTACTTCACATTTAAATTATTGATAGGTATTTTAAAGATTTGAGATTATATATCTATTTGCTCCAAGTAAGTATTCCTTAAATATGTATTATTATTTGTATTTATTTTTATCTAATAATATTTATTTAAGTTATTAATAAACATATTTTAAGAATGTTCTATTTTATTATTTATTGATATATCTTATATTTATTTAATAAAAATATGCAGAACCAACTCTCCACATTAGTCCCCTTATAACAAATTAATTCTTCAAATTTGGTATAATCGACCTAAATTATTTTGTAAAATAAAAGTTTTGAACTTACTAGTTCCATACTTTATTTTATAAAATAATTTATGTGGAAATCATTTAAAATTTAATTTAAAACTACTACCTACTCCTAAAAATTACAATTTGAATTTACCGCCATCTGTCAATTGTCATTTTAGTTCCAGCTCCAAACACAAGGTGGCGCTAATTTGGTTTAAAAGTTTAACATTGACGTGGGGTCTCTAGAAGATACATGCTTTGTGGATGTACCTGTTCAGATTACATTTTTTACATCTCGATTTGGAATGAGATGTGAATGAGATGTTCGTTCCATGCCAGAAAGTAAGTGTTTTGTGAAGCCTTGTTTGTCAATTTATCCTTTGTTTATGCTAGCATGAATATAAAAGTGATTAGTTTGTTTAATTTTTGTTTATTGCTGCGTTTGAGAATCCACATCGGATGCATCTGAGATGTAAAAAATCTTTGATCACGTGATTCAGTATACGTAAATGTAATGGGACAGATGTGTCCGATGTGGATAAAAAAACGCTCGAGATGTAAAAAATGCATCCGATGTGGATTCTCAAACGCAGCAATTATTTCAAATTTAGGTTGATTTGTAGTTTCAAAAGTCAAATTTAATAAGTATAAACTTCTAACATGTCATTGACATTTTATCACGTGACCAAATAAAGTCTAGAGCGTTTGTTTATTACATCTACATTCAGATCTAATTCTCTATCACGTGATAAAAAATTCGCAACATCTCAGATGCATCCGATGTGGATTCTCAAACGCGGCAAATGAAACAAACCGTGTACATTAGGGATGGGCGATATTTCACGTTACAGTGATTTTGTCACAGATATAGTTTTTTTTTGTCATCGGCTTCAACTGCTAAGGTTATTTCGCCTCGTGTTCTGTGTAGTCTTTTGTTACTGTTTTCCAGCGCCACTTTAGGAGCAGCACTGTTAATTAGAACCCAACTGTGAATGGTCGAGTGGGGAATCCTACCAAGGCATCAGAATTAATTTTAAATAATTAAATTTAATAAAAAAATCCCGGCCAACGGTGGGATTCGAACCTGGGACCCTTGGATCCACAGGCAGAGACTCTACCACTGAGCCACCCACCCCCTTGATATAGTTTTGTAACAGTTAGGACCGATTCCACCGTTGTGTTAAGCGGAGTTTAAAAAGATATTTTTACGATAATCCGAATGGGGCTTTTTAGTTAAAAATCGAAATGGCCTTTCAGTCATCTGTCAGTTGTCTGATTGTCTGGTATGCAAATGGTATTGTGCAATCGAAAGTGGTCGTTCCCATGGCCAAATGTCAAAATTTTTGTCACTTGAATCGACATCCTGTCTGATTTGGGGTAATCAAACAACAGTTTTTTAAATGTTAGCCTATCAATTATTCTTTAAGTAATTTAAATTAATATTAAGTGCTAATAAGATAACAAATGTAAATTAGTTCAAATCCATAAATTACGCATAATTCCTAAGAAAATTAAAGGTAAGGAAGTATGTACAGTATTATCCTTTTATTTACACTATTTTTTTACCCCCGAGCATTTTTCTCTCCTTATTGAGCTATAACTGTGAATCTTTCTATCGATCCAGGTCATAACAACAATGAAAAACGATACTATTGGAGATGTAGTCGAGGAAGTAGATGTTTTTAAATTAATTTTAAAATTAAGGCATGAGAAACTGCTGATCAGAAATGAAAAGCAGTACATACAAGAATTGAATAATTTAATTAGAGAAAAGACACACGAGATCATCAGGGATTCATGGATAACAACAAAACAACGTTTATTGCTGTACCAAAGAGAAAGTACCACTAAGAATTACCAAAAACTTGATCATTTATTAAAATCTGAGTTTATTGATGCTAAACAGATACTTGGGTTTCAGGTTAGTAGTAAAATTAGTTATTTTAAAATACTCTAAAAGCTATAAACTGTAGCTGTAATTGTTTTTACTCATTTCCTATTTATATATTAATGTGTATTGATTGAATTTTGGTGACAGTGGTTTTCTCTACTAATTTTTCATATAAATTGTATCCATTAACATTGATTATTCCCATGAAAGTGGATTACATTATCTTAATTGCTTGATTATTATCCTTTTATCTGAACATTTTAGGGGCTGTTAATTACATTTTTAATTAAAAATTAATTGTATTTCATATAAAAGTGCCTATTTAGTTAAAAAAGTTAAACTGCATGCCTTATGATTTATTTTTCACAATTTACTTTAAGGTATGCATAATAGATTTCAGGGTCAAATATTAAAATACCTCCTAATGCCTTTTTATAAAAAAAAAAATCATTTGGATCAAAAACAGGTTTATCTGGGATTATACCTACTAGGTATTTGCTTTTCATAATATGTAAATGTGCTAAATATATTATTTGTTTTATTCTATAATTTACTTCCTAATTATGCATATCATTATTTATTTTAGTCAATTTTGATTACCTCAAATAGAAGTCAGGGTATAACAACATTAAAAAATATATTTGATATATAATATTGATGATAAATTAAAAATAAACTTAACTGATACAATCTTCTTTATGCTTATTTCAAAACTCAAAAGTGTTAATTATTGATGAGTATGTGGAAGTTGAGTGAAACAAGGTAGTGAGGTAGGCTTTCTATTAAATCTGTCTATTGATTAAATATCAGAAGTTGTGGAAAAATGCATTGGAAAGTTTAAAAAATAACTAAACTAATTGCAGTCCAACAAAATCATTCTACAGTTTGAATAACAAATTTATTTTCAACATTGTAACTTTAATTTATGAATTATGTAAGTACTTCGATTCTAGTTAACCCTTTCACTGCAGGAGCTGTCCAGAGCCGTAAAACAGAAAGTGGCAACTGAAGTGCGGGAACAGTCTATAAACAAATGAGCTTCCGATAGGTTTAACTGCGGCTCCGTGGCAGCCACACACCACAGTACTTTAAAAGGACACGTGCCACAGTGAAAGGGTTAAATAAAAAAATATTCTATTAATTTTCAGTTTTATGAAGTCTTCATGATACGAAATGACGCCCAAAGTAGACTACATTTTTTATTCCTATAGAGCTATAGAAAGAACAAAATGAAGTTATTTTTTTTTCTACTGCAAAAATTCACTTGCACTTCTCTACTAGGTAGTAGTCTCTTAATCAAATCAGCTTTAATGCATCATTATATCTTTGTAACTTGCTGCTAAAATATTACTAATAATATTTTTTTAGAATACCATAAAAATCGGAAATCTTCTGCAAGTGCTCAGATCTCAACCGATTCAGCTGGCAAAATGGCTCATTGCTGGCGAGCAGTTGGTCGACGAAGCTCAAGGATATTCGTTTTTTCTAGAAAACATTGTAGTAGGTCTATTCGGTTGTTTAATGTTTTCAGAAGATATAAGATATATGCTGTCATTGTTGTATGAGTTAGCAAAGTTGCAACTGTTGAACTGCGATAACCCCAGGAGGTAAGGAAGTTATATTTTGATCAAATTTAAGATTCTGATGGGAATATATTATGAAATTTGACATTGTCCCTTCTTGAACTCTTACAGAAATGTACTGTTAAAACAAAATATACATATATCCAACTTTTTGATTAAATTTTATTCTAAACAGCAAAAATATGTTTTCAATGGATAAAACTGACAGTTTTATTGTTATTGCGAGTTTTTTAACCTCTAAATATTTGATTAACGCAAAAGGAAAACTGTTTATTAATTAAATAATTATTTTTTTCTGAAAGATTAGGTACTTTAAAATAGAATGAGATAATAATTTTATTTATTGCCTAATAAATATATTTTTTATTTTGTTGTTATATTAAACTGAATTTATTTAAGTAGTTAAAACTGTAAGGAAATACTTCCAAATATTTTTTTATACTATCACCAATACATAGTGAAATTTGATAGTATTTTGGCTTTTGTCAATAATATTTATTTTGACCTTCCTCATTTGATAAACATGGTCTGGTTTTGCTAAACAATGTATAAAATATTGTTATAAATATTTTACTGGCAATAGTTTTATAATTAATTATGAAATATATCATAAATGAGCAAAATGATATAAATTTTCCAGCTAATATAATACCAAATACCAACCTATTTTTAACTATTTTTATCAGGGTAAAATTCAACATATTTGATATTTTTTCATAACAATTTCCTTAGATTCCAAATAATAGCCATTTTTGAAAGTCATTATTCTTTAGAAACTAAGAAGAAGATATATCATATTGTTCTTTGTTTCATTTCTTTTGCATTTCCAACTGTCTCAGTGAACAAGGACTTTAGATATTTACAGTTGGTCTAGTGGTATACTTTGCATACAAAATGAGTCAAAACAATGTCTCTGTTTTGAAATTAAAAACTATGTAGCTTTTGCTCCATCAACATTAATTATCAAGGTTAAATACGTCATCTATCAATATCCCATTTTTATTATTGAAGTCACTTTATACGTCACATCAACTGTCATGTCATCCACATCATCTGACACTTTGAATGTCACATCATCTGTAACTTTGAGTAGAACTTATATTATGTCCCTGTATATTGTCATTGAAGTAGTAATACCTCATATCTGTTGAATAATCAACATGTAGATATGAGGAGTCACTTCTTTAATAATGATATACAAGATAGGAACTAGAAATCATCTGCCTCATATAGAAAAATAAACTTGACAAAATATTTTTTTTTTTTTTTTCATTATAATTTTCCTTAACTTTCATATATTTATTATAATAATGATCAATTAATAATTAAAGTCTAGACTTACGAATCCAAGTGTCCACAGTTCGAATTCCACCCTGGCTGGGGTTTTTTTATTTAAAAATATTTATAATTTTGTGATATTATTAGTTGTAGTAAAAAAATAGTTATATTATTTATACATAGGTAATATATGTATTTATTAAAAAAAAAGATAAATATTTATTTAGTCACCTTTTTGTTGAATTTCTGTTGATAGAGCTTCAATTGAGGGTTTGTATTTTGTACACTTTAATGTATTGTATTATTCTCTGTTTATGGCACGTATGAGAAGACATGATTAGAGGGATTGTGATTTCTTGGGTGCTTGTTTCTTTAAAGTTCAGGTTTTACAGTTTTTAGCCGATGAACATCTGCAAACAAAGTGAGTTACCTAAAATGTCTTAGCATATCATTTGTGATACAAGTCTTCTAGGTTCTCCATCACTGATATACGGTGTGATTTATTTAAGATGGAAGCACCACTGTAGAACCCATATTTTACAGACGATTTGAACTATTTTTTTTACGATCATAAAAGGACAAAAATCTACTATCTCACAAATCTTCAATAATTAATTTGCATTTTCAATACATGCTCTGATTGTTTTTCACTTTCGAAAACATCCAAATTATTATATTAGTGAATTTTTTGTAATAAAAATCTTAACTATACCACTGGATTCGCATGGTCTTAAAATGGCTATCGTAAATGCAATGAAATTTCCAAATTCTTCCTACGGACGTTGTAAAATTGCTATCTTTGTGACATCCGTTTACGATGTGACATCCAAATTCAGATGTCACAACGTTTTTGGGGTTGAAACATCATAGGGGAGGTTTAAAAGGGCGCCAAACAAATTTCAGCTGGATGTCACAATGCTTGATTATCAATTTTGAGAATATATTTAGTTCCAGTGTATATATGCAAAGGTAGTGCTCGCGTCAGTTGGTTTTGTATATTTTCTATATAAAATATTTCAGTCACTCGACTGTTTGACATCCACCATTATAGTATATTATGCAACGATCATGTAATAAACATTACATGAGAGTTGCATACGCTATTTTTTCTACACCCAAATAATCAAGAACTATAAATATATATATAAACTTAAGGGATGTATCATCCCTAATAAAAATGTCTAAACTGCTTTTTCAATGGTTTATTTCACGATCAAGTATCCTCAATTACAATGTTGCTGTGGTATTTCCACTGTCTATTAGCGTACTACCCACTGCGCTGGTCTGCCTTCTTCCACTCGTCCATCCTGACGCATGTGTATGGACTTCAAGAATGTATGGTGGGGAGTATAAAGAAATACCGCTAACACGGCCATCCTGCAATTGGTGCGTCCTCGCGCCACATATATCTGGAATTACAAAATACGAAAACAGAACTACTGTTACGACTTATGAACATTATCACTAATGTTCTTTTTAGACACTAAATGATTAATTACTCTTTCAATTAATGTTGGTGAAATTGCCACGATTACAGTAAACATAGTGGGATCGACACTAGTCATTCTTTCAATCAACGTTGGTGGAATGGCCACCATTACCATAAACATTAGTGGAATTGCCACTTAATACTCTTTCAATAAACGTTGGTGGGATTGTCACCATTACAGTACACATTAGTGGGATTGCCACTAATTACTTTTTCAATTAACCTTGGTGCTATTGCCACTGACTACCTTTTCAATTAACCTTGGTGGGATTGCCACCATTACAGTAAACATAGTGGGATTACCACTAACTACCATTTCAATTAACCTTGGTGGGATTGCCACTAACTACCTTTTTAATTAACCTTTGTGGGATTGCCACTAACTACCTTTATTTTTATTTATTGTTGGTGAGATTGCCATCCTAACACTAAAGGCTAGTGTTATAAAACTAAACTCTAGTATTACTTTATTATCATAATTTATTCAGGAACATTTGGTAGAATTGCCACCCTAAGACCAAACGCTAGTGTTATAAAACTAAACTCTAGTGTTACTTTATTATCATAATTTATTCGGGAACATTTGGTAGAATTGCCACCCTAACACTAAACAATAGTGTTATAAAACTAAACTCTAGTGTTACTTTATTATCACAATTTATTCGGGAACATTTGGTAGAATTGCCACCCTAACACTAAACACTAGTTACAACACTAAACCCTAGTGTTAATTTATTATCATGATTTATTCTGGAACATCCGGTGGGATTGCCACCCTAACACTTAACACTAGTGCTACAACACTAAACCCTAGTGTTAATTTATTATCATGATTTATTCAGGAACATCTGGTGGGATTGCCACCCTAACACTAAACACTAGTGCAACAACACTAAACCCTAGTGTTAATTTATCATGATTTATTCAGGAACATCTGGTGAGACTGCCACCCTAACACTAAACACTAGTGCAACAACACTAAACCCTAGTGTTAATTTATTATCATGATTTATTCAGGAACATCTGGTGGGATTGCCACCCTAACACTAAACACTAGTGTTACAACACTAAACCCTAGTGTTAATTTATTATCATGATTTATTCAGGAACATCTGGTGGGATTGCCACCCTAACACTAAATACTAGTGCTACAACACTAAACCCTAGTGTTAATTTATTATCATGATTTATTCAGGAACATCTGGTGGGATTGCCACTCTAACACTAAACGCTAGTGCTACAACACTAAACCCTAGTGCCTATTTATTATCATAATTTATTTAGTTAAATTTGGTGGGATTTCCACCATAAATCAACAAAAACAATTATTTTAATTTAATATTGTGGGATTTCCACTCACCTTTTTTTATAATTACTTCGATGACCATAGCAACTGATCTTGAGCGGCTACAGTTATTCGCTGTCGCTCTTTGTGAAGTTGATATATTTCGTGTGGTAATACCTCTCCAACTGTGCAAGGCCCTTTGTATTTTGGCCTCAATTTTCCTCCACCTGCATCTGCGATCTGTGAATCTTCAATTGCCACGATATCGCCTGGCTTAAATAATGTGGATGGACGCCTAGTTTCATTGAATCGTTAACCTTGGTTTGACGGTCATCAATTTTTTTTTATGCATTGTTGTTATACTACGACTGCCTCTTCTACTGCTATTTACTGTTTTTCTTTTTCTGCTAAGAGTGTTGCTCATAACAATTTAAAGAGAGTTAATCATTGCACATTCTACCATTTCCACGTGGCACTCCGGTTACTATGTAATCAATCTGCACGTTACGTTTACTAAGAAAGTTTTTGTAAGTTATTGAATTAAATGCAGCAGCTATAATAATTCATATTGGTTTTCTCATTTCTTCAATAATTGCTATTAGACAACATATGGAATCTTTAGAAATTGTTTCTAGCTTGCAATATTTTGAAAATGCATCGATTATAACTAATATTTGAATACAACCACTAGAGTTCACTAAAGAACCTGCATGATTAATATACTATGTGTCTAAAATGTTATGTAACTTTTCTCTATGTTACCAAAATTCACGTCAAGTGATGTATTTTTTTTTAAAGCACTGACCCATTTTCGGCCAATATAAAATAATAAAAATAAACAGTCTCTGAATACCTTATTCTATCCTATTTTAAGATTTAATTGATCGTTTTTGTTTTAATAATTATTTATATTTTATTCAAGCCACTGGATTTTTTTTAATAAAATAATACGTCTTTTATTCAAATATAAAC